GGGAGGAATAGGGGAGGGGCAGGGGAGGACTTTGTGAGGAGTAGGGGAGGTGCAGGGGAGGAGTATGGGAGGAATAGGGGAGGGGCAGGGGAGGAGTAGGGGAGGAGTGTGGGAGGAGCAGGGGAGGAGTAGGGGAGGAGTATGGGAGGAGCAGGGGAGGAGTAGGGGAGGAGTATGGGAGGAGCAGGGGAGGAGTAGGGGAGGAGTATGGGAGGAATAGGGGAGGAGTAGGGGAGGAGCAGGGGAGGAGTATGGGAGGCTGGCTGACCCTGCCGCTGTCCCCGCAGTGGCACTGATGCAGAAGCCGGAGGTGCAGGGCGTGCGCTTCCTCTTCCTGGTGGGGGGCTTCGCGGAGTCGCCCATGCTGCAGCACGCCGTGCAGCTGGCCTTCGGGCGCAGCTGCCGCATCATCATCCCGCAGGACGTGGGGCTGACCATCCTGAAGGGGGCAGTGCTGTTCGGGCTGGACCCCACGGTGGTCAGGGTGCGCCGCTGCCCGCTCACGTACGGCGTGGGCGTGCTGAACCGCTTCGTGGAGGGCCGGCACCCGCGGGACAAGCTGCTGGTGAAGGAGGGCCGGCGGTGGTGCACGGACGTGCTGGACCGCTTCGTCTCGGTGGACCAGTCGGTGGCGCTGGGGGAGGTGGTGCGCAGGAGCTACACGCCGGCCCGGCCCGGCCAGCGCAAGATCATCATCAACATCTACTGCAGCGGCAGCGACGACGCGGTCTACATCACCGACCCGGGCGTGCGCAAGTGCGGCACCATCACGCTGGACCTGCCCGAGCCGCCGCCGGGCGGCTGCGCCCGCGCCGGCCGCCGGGAGATCCGCACCACCATGCAGTTCGGCGACACGGAGATCAAGGTGACGGCGGTGGACGTCGTGACCTCCCGCTCCGTCCGCGCGGCCATCGACTTCCTGTCCAACTGAGGGACCGGCAGCCCTCATCTCCGCTGCCCTGTGTCAGCCAGGCTTCCTTTGTATTGTCTGCTGTAGCACCATCTGTTGCAAAGCTGTGCTTGCTCTGGCTTCACTGAGCCCCATGTTACTGTTTAAAGGTCTGCGGTGCACAACAGCCCCACCTGCTGGCTCACAGCCCCACGCAACCCCCTGCAGTCTCCCCCTTGTGGACAATGCGCTCAGCAAAGCATCGATCCGACTCCCCAGCACCGCGGTTCTCGATCCTGGCCCAGCCAAGTTCTTAATCACGGGCCCACTTATTTTCAGTGTTCTGTGTGAAGCCTTTTCTAAAATGAGATCTGAAGTGGGTAATGAGCCCTTTGCTCAGCTGTGAGAGCTGACATCTAACCAACTTGTCTTGAGCAGAATAAAGGCACTGGAGCTCAGAAGGAGTGCCTTGACACAGTGGCATTCCTGCCTGAGCCTGTTCACAGTCAATAGATCGCGATTAAAAGCTGTTTGCAAGGAACTAACTGAGCAAATAGTTATTTTTCAGGTTGAGGAGAAACTACAGAAAGTTCTGTGTGCTGATTTTTTAAATCACTTTAATTTTAAATCAATTAAGCACTTTATTTTTAAAACTTTAATTTATGTTTTTGAAATTAGTCCTTGCTTACAGAAAAAAGAATAATGAAAGCAATCAGCACAGGCAATTTAGGAACAAAAAAATGAAAACATGGACATGGACATGTTTTTCAGAAATTGGGCCTGGATTGAGAACCAAAGTTAAGCTTACGCTGGGAAAGAAACACATCAACATGCACGGCTGTTACTTGTATTATGACTCGCAGCTGCCTTAGATAGGACAACACAGGCAGAGTAGACCTGGCAGGAGATATCAGGCTGGAGAAGAGGTCTCCTCCTGGGCATCCCCAGCATCCCTGCAGGGTGCTGTCTAACCCCACAGCACAGCGTCACAGGGTAGTCTCTCCTGGAAACTCCATTTTTGTGACAAGGAGGTTTCAAGGGAGAACTCAGATCCTGCTGCCTTATATGTACTCAAAAGCAGCAGTGCGGGATGAGCCCCACACAATACCACAATTGTGAGATGTGCAGTTAAGACTGGATGATTAGGTCCTTCACACAATGAGAAGTACACAAACACAGCTGGGTGAACATCCAGCTCTTTCCTTATTCTGGATGGGCGCAAGCAGCTAATAGGAAGAAAACAGTAACCAAACATACTGGGCCAAAAAAGCATTTCATTCAGATGGCACTGGGGCAGCGTGAGAGTCGTGTGATCTTTAAAAATAAGACACAGCTTTTTCCTAAAAATCCAGTTTTTAAAGATTTTCAGTTCAGCTAGTAAAGACACAGTATATGACATGAAAAGACCAATCATGACTGATTGGACCCATTATACTCCTATCGGTTCTCAACGTCTTTCAGATACGAAAGCCTCACTGAGGGTAATCCTGCAGGGGCCCGGTGCACCAGTTTTCACAGGGGCCGCATACAGCGGTGCTTCTGGGTTGCAGCCTGATCTCTTCTGGCCTCAGAATGTAACCCAGGCTGGGCCTGGTCAGCTGTAAGGGTTCCTGCTGATCAGTGGGCCGACTCTTCCCTGAGGAGCAGAATGCCCAACAGGGCCAGGGAGCAATCTCTAGAGCACAGTGGCGTGCTGCCTTTGCCATCTGAAGGATCTACAAATGAGATGTTAAACCTCAAAGTTCCCCCTTAATTCACCTGATGAAGCAATGTGTCAGCCTCCACCCCGGTCCGTCACTGGTGGACGAGAGTCTTCTCCTACGTGTAAAGCGTTTTGAGATCAGAAAGTATTGAAATGTCTTTATCGTTCCGGTGCTCTGATTACCACTCCAGACTCCAGTTACATTGTCTTCTGTCATTACTGTTCTGTATATCTTCACGCTTCTCTGCAACTTGGCCAAATACCCTGGTGGGCATTACAAACTGCTGGACTTCTCCATAATTATTTCTTAATTTTATATTGACTTACCTATCATAAACAGAAAATTGTAGGATGGTTCTTTTTTTAACATGGTAATAATCATTTTCTCATTTTTAGTGTTTTGTGTTCTTTCTCCTGGATCCTGATTTCCTGGTTGTGCAACATTTTAAGACTTTACCAGACTCTGTACCAACACACAAACCTCATCTCAGCACAAATCCTAAAGGGTTTTATTTATAGAGAAAATTGCATATCTTCTACTTGTAATCTTTTTCATTTCAAACCACTTTGTTCTACGCATAAATATATTGAATTTTGTATTTATATATTTTTGTATAACCTTTTTTCAAAGCTATATAAACATATTGTTGTTGTTTTTTCTTAAGATACAGTCTCATGTTATTTGTCGCTGCCATCAGAGGTGTAATCCATCCAAAATCAAAAATCCACCCACGGCTCTGAACCTGGAGGGGAGACCTCCTGGGAAAAACTAAGGTTGCACCTGGAAAAGGTATTAGTGGGGCCAGTAGGGGGTGCTCATCATGCAGTCTGTGTGGGTCCTAATGCCCCAGTATAGTGATGGGGACACTATACCATAATAAGTTGCCTTGCTTCAGATGAGAACCAAGGTCTCTGTGGTCATTAACAATCTCAGGATGTTTCTCAAAAAGAGTAGGGGTGTTGCCCCGCTGTCCTGGCCAGATGTCCTCCTGGGCTTTACCAATCATGGCCTCCTAACAATCCCCATCTCTGAACTGGCTTCATCACTCTGCTCTCCTCCCCACTGAGAGCTGGTGTGTGGCGTTCTGGCGCACTATGGCTGCCGTCACATCATCCAGGTGGGGCTGCACATTGGTGGAGGTGGAGGGGATCCCCATTACTTGTAAAGTTCTTTGAGTGGAGTGTCCAGAAAAGCGCTATGTAAGTGTAAGGACTATTATTAAAAGTCCTTTTCAGACATTAAATTTTCTACATGACTCAAAATTATTAGTCCAAGAAACTGCAACAAATGGTTACAAAAGGTGAGTAGGAAAGCAGATGAACTGGGGTTTTGGCATGTTCTGCTATCAGAGATCACCTGTGAGCTGTTTCCTGCCAGTGCTCCTGAACATGGGCTGTTAGCAATCCCTCAATGTATACAAAGGTTTCCAACTGGAAAACCAGGGCCAGCCAGTCTCTTCATGAAGACTTACTGTACATCACACCGAGGACACTGAGCTCCACATGACCCTCCGGCCGGCTGACAGCCTACAGTGGGAAACGGCCCAGTCCTGAATCGCTCAAAGCTGCTTCAGGAAGGTAATTTACAGTATAATTGGGTTTGAGGCTACACCAGTTTCTCTAATCAAGCCTGAACAAGAATTAAGCATACTCCATCAGTTCACGAATCCATATGATGACAAAAAAATTAAAATGCACCATTAAAACTTTTACTATCAATATTTCCAAATAGTCCAATTCCCATTGTTTCAGTTTAATGTGGTTTATTGATCAATTCTAACTTTTTTTCATCAGATGAAACACCAGCCAGCACAGACCTTCGCAGGTCAGTGACTTGTACAGGGGTGATGCACTAAGCAGCAACAGTCAAGCCCCCGAGAGTGTCCATCTGTCCATAGTGGGCATGCGGTCAGCCATGGCTGCTGCCCCGTCCAGCGGCTGGAGGGGCATCGACAGTCGATGAGGGTTTCTGATGGCCTCATCCTTGGACAGGATAAGGCAGGCGGCCCCAGAGGTCATTGATGAGAACCGCAGACGGGTCTCCTGCGCAGGCATGGACATTGTTAGCAATATCCTCATTGTTCACCTCCACTATGTACCACATCCCAGCCCGCAGGCACGAGAAGCTCAATGCGCTGTATTGTGTTACTTTGTACAAAGCTCATATTTAGTAAGAGGTGAGGCGTGTTCTATCGTCTGCATAGGGTCCTGATAAACGCTTTGTAACAGTCCTGCTACACCAGATGCTATAGGCAGCACACTCCTCCGGTCCAGGGGCACTGCAATGGAACAAGACCTTGCTCTTACACTGCCGGCACACTTGCAGGACAAGGAAAGGCCGAGAGAAATACATTCCTGCTTCACAATGTATGTCCTCACGTGCCCTATATAACACTGGTATTCTTGAGAAATGACAATGCGGAATTTGTGCCCACAGTTTGAACCATAGTTTAAACACAGCAGAAGTGCCCATGCTTGTCCAAGCACAACAAGATGCCAAAAGCAATTTGCCTCCTCCTAGTTTTGGCCATATTCTTGTACATATCTGCCTCACCTCAACCGTCAGGCATGCTGGGTCAATAATTCAGGTGGGTAGCTGTGTCAGCATGTGTAGGCTGCAATGGAACGGAAAGGAAAGTCATAGGTTTATTTCATGCTGAAAAAAAAGAAGAAAGAGAACACAACGTTTCGGCCGTGGAGCCTTCCAATGGTGCTGCATTGCTGCCACAGGACCAGGACTGCTTGCTATCGGTGGAGGAATTGTGGATTTGGGATTATATCAGCAAACTCTGCAGAGGAATGTAAATTAGGATCAGATAGCAAGACAATGATCCTAAACATACAAGCAGATCTACAACAGGGTGGATTAGGAAGGAGACGTAAACCCCATTAAAGTCTTATGGCAGGACCTGGAACTGTTTAAGATTTCCTGAAGATCTAATTATGTTTTAGGTATAAAATATATGAGAACATGGACCAATCTAGGGAGTTCATAGACTTTCTCTGAACTGCATATTGGATCAAAGGAAAAGATTATCAATGCTGAGGTAGTACCACCTACTCCTATCACTAAGATTAGATCACTCCGATCTAACTTTCCAATAGGGACACTGGGCTTAGAAGAAGCTTCTTGCTTTCATCGACCTGTATTAGGTAGAGGAGTTTATTGCCATATGTACTGCACATGTACATTGGAACTCTTATTCATGTCAACCTCTCAGGACATGCACAGTACAGCAGAAGACACAGTACGACAGACAAAACCACACAACATAGACAGTATATTACACAACGGTTCATAATAAATAGGAACAATAAATACATTGTAGAGAACAATAAATATTTAGTAGTGAGAAAAACCATGTTATTCCAAGTCAAAAGTGCAGAGTGCAGATGTGTGTTGAGTCTGAGGCGCTGCAGTTAGCTGCTGAGGATGTGCACTGCAGCAGGGTAGAAGCTGTTCTTCAGTCTAGTGCTTCGTGCTTTAATAGTGCGGTACTGCTTGTCAGAGCGCAGGGAACAGTTTGTGGCCGGATAGTTGGGATCCTGAATGATGGATTGGGCTTTTTTGCAATAGCAGATGGTGTAAATCTCATCAATTGATTGTAAGTCACATCCTGTAATCCTCTGTGCTGTTGCCACAACCCTCTGAAGTGCGTCTTTGTCAAGTACTGCCGTACCACACAGTGATGCCACTAGTGAGGACACTTTCTGAACTTTATTATAACTTTCTGAAGTTAAGCATGAACTTTAACTTCATGTTTAATAAACTCCAAAATCCTTTTGTCTCTTTGTCTCAACAATTTGTTGGTGGATTTTCTTAAGATCTTTCTATTCTACTCCTTACTGAGATTAAATTCAAGCAGTACATTTCTGGGTCATTACGTTACTGCTAAGGAATAAGTAAGAAGGGCTACAGATGAGAGGAGGGCATTTGATCCATGTAGTAAAGAGCATAGTATAGTATCTATAGCATCTACTGTATGTACTGTATAGCGTAGAGCATAGTAACTTGGCTCAGGGGGTTCAACGCTGATTGAAGGATGAGAGGCTCATCTCTGACTGACGGCCCCCCCTGCATGTCAGTACCAGGGAGGCTGCAGGGGGGCGCTGTGTCACTGAAAGAAGAAGAGCCCTGGTCAATCCGAATTGCACCCACGCCTGGTGATGCTCAGCCAACTGCGTGCCACTAGGGAGGGTCTACAAACTCCTTTACACCTCTGATCTCTCTGCCTGGCCCACTCTGAGTAGTGAAGAGTCCTGTCATACCACCATTGTCCTCCAGAGGGCCTCCTCTGGCGCTCTCCCAGCGCAGAACAGGTCGCAGTCAGTGAAGAGTCAGGAGGCAGTGCCTCACATGGGCAGCCTGGACCGCAGGACCTTGGTCCCAGACTTGTAGGTCTTCTCCAGCGTGTCATGGGATGGCCTGGTCATCCTACAGTAGACCCACAGGTCAGACAGCAGGTCATCCTGTCTGCAGGCGCTCGCCATGCACAGGGAGTGAAACATAAAGACAGTGCCAGTGGACCATGCTGTAGTTTCCCCTGACACCTGAGGAAGTGCTCCATTATTTACTTTTTATTCCTCCTCTAGACAGGCTGAAAGTCAGACTCTTGAACTCTACATGAAACACAACACCGCAAAACAGAACACAGTACGACTGATTACACCCAGGAGGAGGCTGAACCTTTCATTTGAACCAGCAGGAAACCATCAGAGTTGAGCTGTTTTGGTAGACTAAGACAGGAAAAGGTCCATGGTGTAATTTAATTCCAGATTGCTGGCTCTGGTCTCCTGCAGGGACTGAGGTCTTCATCTCAGGGTCTCGTTTCCGGGTGCGAACATGCACAGAGTGGGCCCTGCCTTTAGCGCTGTGCCTGGTGAGCTGAGCAGTCCTGGGCTGCACCTCGGCCGTCACGCCAGACAGCAGCCGGAGTCCTGCTCGCAGAGGGAGGGACAAGAGCCAAGAGCATCGCAGACTACAGCCTTGACACCTGTGGCTTGAGGTCATGGCCTTCTCAGTCACCAGCTCTGAGCGCGGTCCAGCGTTTACTGCAGGATTCCAGACGCTGGAGGAGCATGCAGGCTGTCCTGCAAGCTCATGGTGGCCTAATGCCCTGCGGAGTGACTTTACATGGGTGCTTCCATTTGATTGTGTAGTATCTGTAAGGAGTGCACGGCCTTGCCACTGCTCTGATTCTGTGACTGTTTTTCAATGCATGGAGTGGTGTTGTTCGCCCCATGATGAGTAGGGATACTGTACCATGAGCCGATCCAGGCTCCCGTGAAGCGTAGTTCAGGACCCTCTGCAGATGGTATAAACTGGAAAATAAGTGGAGAAGGACATCAGGGGAAGGTACAGCAGGGGTGACAGACAGGGGGTGGTGACAGTGGTGATCCAGTTTGGGGGACGTGGCGAAGGCAAACAAGTCCAGGGAAGTCCAAAACGGGAAATCCGGGGTGCAGTCCAAAATCCCAAAACTGGGTGATCCATCCAAGACAAGACAGGGTTAAAATCCGGAACATTATCCGGAACAAGAACAAGGAGTTAAAAGAGAGTAACGAGGCCAGGTGCTCCGAGCCCCAGACTCAGACGGCCTGCCCTTGGGCTGCCCGCGAGCCCGGGGAATAGCCAAGCCTTGTGGCGTCCATCTCCCAGGGCTGAGCCGGGGACAGCGTGAGCACCAGGCTTGAATAACGGGGCACAAAACAGGGGGCAGGTGCACATAGTCAACTAAAACACGAAAGGGTTGGAGCGCCATGAAGAGGAGGGACCCCGATCGTGACAGGTACTCAGTACTCAAGCTGTGCATGGAATCTGAGCATTTACAGTATTTCCCTTAAAATGCAGAGTTTACCCAGGCAATTGTAGGGGCCCGCGTCTTCCAACACCGAAGGGCCTTGGTGCCATGCAGAGGCCACGATGTACCAGCAGCCCTGAGCAGGAGAAGCGAAGCTCCAGGCGAAGCCATTCCTTCACTTCAATGAAGAGGGACCGTCCGAGAGGCCCAGTGGGAATCTCAGCTGGGACACTGGGGTTGGCTCTTCATAACCTCTGACCACTGAGCAGTCAGGCCCTCTGTTTCACACCTCTCCCTTGGGAGACACTGGAAAGCTGTGTCAGCTGTCACCATACCCTGTCACCTACTGGACCCCAACACCACTTACAGCTGCAGCCTAGCTTTCCTTTTCCTCCCTAAACCTGCTGGTTTGCAATAGTTGAAATACAACCTCCAACAAGAGCTGGGAAAGTCAAACAGTGAGACAAGGAAGTGTCCAGTTCAGGGACCAGACTGGGAACCCCTGTCCTAGTCCACTACAGTCTCTGCTCTGCCGAGATTACGGAAGGTGACAGGGCTAAGACTTCATTTCCCTGCAGTTCCAGGGCAGATTCCTCGTTCACAGTGAGCTCCTGTGTGAAATATTGATTCAGCACTTTCGCCATTTGTAAGGCCTTGCTTTGACTGCTTTGGCCCAGCTCTTTCCATTTCATTTGCTGGGATAGTACAAGAAAATGTCAACTTTTGCTGTTGTTTTTCAGCAGCCAGTGAAAAAGAATCTCTCGCTCCTTCACTATCTGCTGCCTTCAAACTGAAAAGCTTAGATTTTGACCTGTCTGGTACAGGTTTGATCCCAAAGCAGAAGAGGTTCCAGTGGCCGGGCGACTCTCCTCCTTCTGTCCTCCTCAGCGCATTGACTTCACTTCTCTAACAAAGGGCAGAAAAGCCGCCAGCGTGTGACTCTCGCTTTGATCCTCCTTACATCTGAGAAGGAAACATGCAGAAGGACAACAGGTTCCACAGGCTTTGTCTCGGGAGAGCAGGTTTGAGTCCTAGCGGATTGTCTCTGCCGGTGATCACACTGGGAGGTAGCCAGCTATGCAATGTCGTTACTGTAATCTGATTCCACGATTCTGACTGTGCAAATATTGTCTTGTTAAATCTTTTTTGCTTGACAGTGCCCTCGTTAACACAGCAGCTTCCTGATACTTATTTACGTGGTTGGATGATGTACAGTAAATGGTACATTTGTTTTCAATGGTTTTAGCGGTTTAATAACGGATTATTTTTTATTAGAAACGTAGATACATTTACAAAAGAGAGAGTCATTCAGCCCATCCAGCTCGTGTTTTATATAACTCATCAAAATTATATTTATAAAGCACTCCAATAAAGTTGTTAAATTTAGACAAAGGGAAATTATTTTTAAGAAGTAATGCATTACTCCACATAGTACCTGTAAACAAACTACATAAACCAATATCTATGAAGACTGCAATTCTTCACACAAGTTACCTGTAATTGTAATAGATTACTCTTTAAAGTTGCTTTCCGCGACACTGCCTGCTCCTGACTAGAGTTCTCGCCCGCGTACAAATCGACCAGCGTTTTGCGATGTTCGCTACCGCACACGTCGAAGTACAGGCAGGTGCTGTACGCACCCTCGCCGCTAGGCAGAGACGTTGGCTCGATTTTTCTTGGATGAATGGAAAGGATTTCTTGTGATCGTGAAAAAAATATTTAAATAATGTTTCATCATCGTAAAAGAAATCAAGGAATAGAAATACGAATTAAATCAGAGAACAGAATTTTAGAAAATGGAGAGGATCATGGAAAGGATTCCTAATATTAATTCTGTAATTCAACATTTCAATGTAAAAGTTTGAAGGATATCACATTTATTTTTACAACGCATATTTTTAACAAACCAGCATTCTGCATGAATGTATTTCTTGAGAGCATTTTCCTTGAAGAATAAAAACTTACAAATACAGATATCACGTTTCGTGTGTGTGGGTTGTTTTTTTTTTATAACATTAAGTATCTTTGCACGGGTCCGCCTATTGTAGAAAAGGCAGCGAAACTCAATTTCCCATAATCCATTTTTATCCCCCCCCCCCCCCCTAGTCAGAGCACTCACGGGAATTGTAGTCCTTGACCCCAGCTCATTCCATGGGAGATTCCTTAACGTTTCCCCTCCGTAAAACTCTCTTTCCCAGAGTCCCCCCCTCGCGTGGGATGGTTTGTTTTTCAGGTGACGCAGCGGAGCGGCGTTACTGGGACATGGAAGATGGCGAGTTTGGAGATAGCTGCGGAGCACGAACGAATCCTGCGGGAGATCGAGAGTACGGACACCAACTGCATCGGACCCACACTCCGGTAAGGACCAGCGGGGACCCGCCGGGGCGCAGGGCGGGCTAGCAGGTGCCCCTCGGGGTCGGTGAGGGCGGCGGAGCTCAGAGCCTCCCGGTGTGGCTACTCCCACAAACTCGGAGCTGCCCGAGGGAGTCTCCCTGAATCAGTCTCTCCCGGAGACTTCTGGAGCGCTTCTGCAAAGTTGTGGATCCGGCAGCCGCTCATATGGTCTCGGCATTGCGGTCCCTCCCGGCCAGTGTGCCCCTGGCGCTGGCGGGGAGGGCAGTGCAGGCACGGAGCGGCTCTTCAGCTGTCGGACAGCCTTGACGGGAATCAGTGCTGCTCACTGCCTCTCACCCGCTGTGCTGCTTCCTAAAACTGTCCCGGTGCCGGGACCAGGCGGTCCGGGAGCTGAAAGCGCTTGTTTGCTATGCTGATGGAGCTCATCCCTTTTTGTTTCTTCTGAAAGCCTGGCTACGTTCCTCTCCGAAAGGTGACTGGGGCGTGTGTGGACATGGGAAAATCTATTATTAGGTGTGTACGCTAAAATAGCCGCTGACGAAAGTTTCTTTGCGCTTCACTGCGCTGCTCACCGGAGCCAGCCGCCCCAGACAGAGCCCCCTTCTGCCCTGTCCTCCTCTCTGAGAGTAAAACTGCAGCAATGAGGGGCTTTTATTAGTTGTACACTGTTAGCACTCGAGTTCGAACACCCAGACTATAGTCAGGCTGCTAACATGAAACGGTTTTGGGAAAGTTCTGTACGACCTAAAACACAGGCAGAAGGGTGCTTGTTTTTTTTAATTAAACTTTAACTGTGTGGTAGAGAGAATACAGACTTGAGTTTTTCTGAGCGAGGTGATGTAGTGGCTGTAGTCTGTGGGAGGTGTTTTCAGTCCTCAGTGCTCACTAGGGGTTGGGACCAGCAGGAAGGTGCCAGGCGAGGGGAGAGATCTGTCGGAGTCCGAGCTCCTGTGAGCTTTCCGAGTTGGAGATAATGACCATCGCTGGGCTCCGTGGTTGAATTAGGTCCAGCTCTTGGACGTCAGCAGCTCGGATTCGTGTTTCCGAGTCCTCTGTGCCCCTCGAAATGAACATCCGTTGGATAACACGATCATAAGACCAGTTAAAGATCAGCGTCAGAGCAGAAACCTGAGGCAAAAGTAATTACAGAATGAGCATGTCCTTATTCAACATGAGACACCTGACCTTTAGAAGGACTTTTATTAAGCCTCCATCACGGGCTCCTGTACTTCTACCTGAGTAGTTTACATCAGTTGTCCACGGGGCGCTTGGGTTCATGTAGCAGATAGACTCCAAGAATGGGGCATCGGTTGATTTAGCCCGAAGAGGACAGAGGGTCAGAAGGGTTTCGGGACCTGGTGATGAGGCTGTGGTACTGGGTGTTATTTTGGGAGTTAACCCTCAGCCTGCTGCCCACAGCGCCTGTCCCGCTGGTTCTTCAGCCCCTGTCAGTCAGCTGTGATCTTGCTCCAGGACAGCGCAGTGGACCCGGAATGTTTTCATGAGCCCCTGTGACCCAGAGTCATGCCGGCATTCAGTGTCATGTTTTGAGCTAACTCTGAGGCATGTCCATACAAATAGATATCGCTTTGAATAAGCGGCAGTGCTATAAATCCGATGATGATAATTTCATTAGGTCCTCCGCAAAAAGACGAGGAGTGTTCTTCGGTGGGATGAGCTGCGCTGTGGCGCAGTGGACAGCAGGGCTGCCTTGCGGCGCTGGGCCCTGGGTTCGGTTCCTGCCGTGCTGTCTGTGTGGAGTTTGTATAGTTTCCTCCGGGTGCTCTGGTTTCCTTCCACAGTCCAAACATATACTGTTGAGTCGATTGGCAGGTTCGTGTCTGTCTGCCATGTGATGGACTGGCGTCCTGTCCAGGGTGTGTCCTGCCTTGCACCCGTGGCTAGCTGGGATAGGGTCTGGCTCCAGTGTGGCCCTCAACTGGAAAAAGAGATTAGAAAATGGAAGGATGGATGTACTTCAATGGGGAAGACAGTATGCGATAGCTGCAAACAAGAGATTCATGTTTTGAAAGCTTCTGTGATTGTTTGACTGCTGGCACATTTCCAGATCAGTTACCTGATCACTCTTTCTAGAATGATCATTTATCTAACGCATGCGACATGTCCAAAATGCCAGCTTTACTGGACACTGCAGTAGCCTGAAGTACAGTATATGAATATGCTGTGTTATGCTGTTGACACCCATCTTACTGAGCTGCACAGCAGAGATACACACAGCCCAGTCTATCACAAAGGAGAGGCTCTCACTGTGTGAATCCCAGGTTCTGGTCTAGTTTGGTTTTGCCTTGAAAATGGGCTGCTGGTCCTCACATGCAGTGCTGTGTGGAGTGAAGCAGTTAGAGAAACCCTGTGATAGGTTGTCACCTGTTCTGCAGGCACAGTAAAGATGTTTGAGGTAACTCAGCTCCCCTACATTAATCTTGCAGTGTTGCTTTAACACACAGGTGTTACAACACGAGAAGGGTTCCAAACAAGAGGACGCCATTCAGCCCAATTTGCACATTTAGTACTTAGTAGCTAATTTAACTAAGGATCTGCAGCTGTTTCTTGAAAGAAGCCAGGATATCGGCTTCAACATTATAGCTGGGTAGCTTGTTCCAGACATCCACAACATGGACTTTGACACAGTTTCCATCGGTGTCCTTTGGCTTGTCTTTCACTGCCCGTTCTAGAGAAGCTCGCTGGGCTGACTGTGTCAGGGCCTTTAGAATCTGGCAACTTGAATCAAGTGTTTTTTCTGTTAATCGGTCGTTCAGATTTCAGAGTCTGGATCTCACTGCTTCCCTTCTGAGCCTGGGCCCAAAAGTTTAACTCCTTCAAGTCGGTGTAGTCCTTCGACTACTGTAATGCTCGACTCACTGGGGTTTCCAAATCTACTTTGAACAAACTGCAATATGCCCAAAATGCAGCAGCCAGAATCCTGACCAGGTCTAGTGCAAGTGATGACATTACTCCTATCCTGGAGTCCTTGCACTGGCTTCTTGTCAAGTTCCGTGTGGACTTTAAAATCCTCATGCTCACCTATAAGGCTCTACATGGCTTGGCACCTCAGTACCTGTCTGAGCTATCATCGCCCTACTCCCCACCTGGCAACCTTCGCTCTTCTAACTCTGCTCTCCTTACTGTCCCCCAAGCCCGTCTACATTGTATGGGTGACAGGGCCTTCTCCTGTTATGCCCCCAAGCTCTGAAAATCTCCCCAAGGATATCAGAGAGTCACCTTCTCTAAACTCCTTCAAATCCAGACTCAAAACCCTCTTCTTCAGAAAAGCCTGTACTTAACTGTTCCATTCTTCACCCCTCTGCTTTTCTTAGTACCACCATCCACGGTCACCTCTGTATATTGTAATTGTGTTTTGTCATGTGTAATCTTTTTATTTAATGTTGTTGTCATACTGTAAAGCACTTTGAGAAGCCACCTTTAAAGTTGCTAGATAAAATAAAGTTTATCTAAAGAATGATTATTATTCATGTAGGACTGATGGCGTGAGTCATACTGGGCGAGAGGAGTCTTAGTGTGCCTTCAGTCCCCAGTGCTGGGCTGGCCTGCAGTCAGAGTGAGGAGCTGCTGGCTGAGCTGTTTTGTGCCAAGTGCTCTTTCCTGGGGCGTTGAGCTTGCAGCGTTTGGCCTGCTTAGTGTCCAGCCTCCACACACTCACTGTTAAGTGCTAAAATCTGTCAGTAGTCTACAATGTTAAATCAAAATCAAACTGGATTACCCGTTCCTTTCAAGTACGGCACAGGGCAGTCCATAACAGTTTGAAATTGCTCTGCTGTTCCATTAGCAGTTTGCAATGCCTGAGTTGGAACAGATGGTCCTGTTGGTGTGGACACACACAGTCAGGCAGTGCTGACCTCGTTATTGCTGTTCACTGGAAAAAAGTGATCTTGTGGCAGATAGATACTCTTGGTTCTGGGCTGTTTGCTCTGCACCTGCATGAGTAAACTCATGGCAGCAAGACTCAGTGTTTCCCCTATTCATGTCTTAGCTGCAGGCAGTCTGTGAAAACTTCTGCTTCCGTCACTCTGTGTGAGGCCCTTCTGTCAGGAATGCTGGAGGAAGGGGCTATAGACTGTGTTTGAAAGCCAGTCAGTCAGTTTGAGATTTCTTACTCTGCCACACTGCTGCCCTGTCAGAGCTGGAGTTGTATGGGTGAACTGGGAACGTTGATTTCTTTTTGGACGTGACCAAATCATTGTGAATTCAGACACAGCACTGTGTACAGTGTGATTCACAAGTGTAAAGGCCAGGGAGTTCCATTTTCAATGGGAGTTAGGAAGTAAAAACGTAGCTGCAAATATGTGGCTCTGTAAAATATTTTTGTAATTTTAAATGGCTCCTTGAATATCCTGAGAACAAACTGTTATGCACAGTGGCACAGATGGGTTGCACTAGAGCAAAGCAGCCCGTCAGGTTTCTGCAGCTAATATTGAAGCAGGTGAAAATATTACATAGCCAGCAGCTTTAAACTAGAAGACTACAATCAGTTTTTTAAGGCTTCAAAGTGTAACAGTTCTTTGGGTTGGCAGGGCTCACTGCCTGGGTTCGAACCCGTATCTCTGGCGTCACACAACAGGGAACTTGCCAGCTGAGCTAAAGGAGACCCCCCCCAGCCCGGGCGGCTGAGATCCCTGTGATACGCAGTGGCGAATTCGTTACTCAAGGAAGTCTCTGGCCACATACAGTACCTAAACAGTATGAGTGAACTACAAATAAATTAAGGGAAAACTAGAATGATGCTCAAATCAAGACTGCAGTGTATTAACCAAGCAGTGCTCATGCCAGTATTGGCCACATGTCTTGTGTGCTTCAGCAGACAGTAACCCATTATTGCTCTAAAAGTGTTGCAGCAGCAGGTGAGCCGCAGAGGTGGGGCAGATTTGGTGTGGTGAAACCTGAACATCCAGCCGATCAGTGCAGCAGGTCCTGCGAGAGGTCAGGCAGCCCCCTCTCAATGCCTGTTCACCATGTTGTCAGGAGAC